CGGCGGAGCTGCCGGCTCGCAAGCTGCGGATAGTTTCTGGTGACGAAAAGCAATACTTCACTCTCGGGGAAGATAATACAAATCTGCGGGTGAACCAGAGGATAGACCGAGAGGAAATCTGCGGGGCCGTGTCGCCCTGTGTCCTCAGTCTGGAGGCAGTCGTGGAAAACCCTTTCAATATATTTCATGTAAGCGTTACTATCCAGGATATCAATGACAACGCGCCGCAGTTTGACAGAGAATTTGTTGCCATAGAAATGATCGAGTCCACTCCTCCTGGGGCCAGGTTCCCACTGGGCAGTGGCAGAGACCCAGACACTGGGGTGAACTCACTACAAAATTACCAACTTAATCCAAACCCGCTCTTCTCCCTTGTAGTAAGGGAGAGTCCTGATGGGACGAAACACGCGGAATTGGTACTGGAGAAAAGCTTAGATCGAGAAAAACAGAGAAATCACCATTTGGTACTGACGGCAGTGGATGGTGGGGATCCAGTCCGATCCGGGACCGCCCAGATTAAGATTAACGTGACCGACGCAAATGACAACTCGCCGGTATTTACCAAAGAGATCTACAAGGTTCGACTGCTGGAAAACCTGCCAGAGGGCTCCTTAGCTTTTCAGGTGAAAGCTACTGACGGCGACGAAGGCATAAATGCAGAAATTACCTACTCTTTCAGTGACATCCCGAACAGGGCTCGCCAGCTTTTCAGTCTGGACTCCAAGACAGGGGACGTGAAGATAACAGGCCCCTTGGATTATGAAGAAAGGAAATATTACGAAGCGAGTGTTGAAGGCAAGGACGGGGGTGGACTGACTGCGCACGCCAAAGTGCACATAGACATTATAGACGTGAACGACAATGCGCCAACCCTTTCTCTCCTGCCTATCTTGAACCCGATACCCGAAGACTCGGTCCAGAGCACAGTTGTAGCTGTGATTAATGTCCGTGACAGAGACTCGGGGGATAACGGAGAAGTGAGCTGCAACATCGACGGCCATTTGCCTTTCAGACTAGAACCGTCATCAGGGAACACTTATAAACTAATACTAGCAAGTGCCCTGGACAGGGAAAAGGTCTCCGCTTACAACATCACCATCACTGCCAGGGACCGGGGCAGCCCGGCGCTGTGGAGCCGCGCGGCGCTGGTGCTGGAGGTGTCGGACGTGAACGACAACGCGCCGGTGTTCGAGGAGGCCGCCTACAGCGCCTACGTGGCGGAGAACAACGCGGCGGGCGCGGAGGTGGTGCGCGTGCGCGCGCGGGACGCGGACGCGGGCGCCAACGGGCGCGTGAGCTACTGGCTGGCGGGCGGCAG